TATCTCTACAACAGAATGGGTCGGGCGACACAACGCGCAGAAGCTAGTGCTAATCGTCTGTAGTGCAGAGACGGGTGAAACGATTGAGCGATGGGTCTTCAATATAGATGCGGATCGGACTGTCACACATGACTCGTACGTGTCTGATACAAGGAGATATTGTACACAAGTACTGTGGGAGGTTGCGCTTATTACTAGTTTACGTTTATATATAACTATTGTATGGTTGTATATATGACAGTGTTTTGGGTGTGATCGTACACATCTACTTTACGTTTATATATAATTAATATATGGTTGTATATATGACAGTGTTTTGGGTGTGATCGTACATAACTAGTTTACGTTTATATTTAATTAATGTATGGTTGTATTTTTGACAGTGTTTTGGGTGTGATCGTACACCTTATTGATGTATGTGCGATCGAAAGGTCCTCTCTCGCTGTGTACACGACAAGAGCAGCACGCAAGTCTGTCAGTTTCGTTTGTTCCATAGCCAAGCGACCTATCATATACTGCACAGAATGTCTACTTCACCTCCTGTAGGGCCTAGGGTTTAGGGTTAAGGTATATCTACAATGCATGGGCTTTGACGCACGTTTTCAATTACGTTGAATGGACCCATTATGCTCTGCATCCATCTATCTGTACCTGCTGTTAACTCACCATGCCCGAGCTTTGTCGTATATTTTTCAAAGATACGTTTACTCATGTGCAAACGGATTCAACGGGCTTGCACACAGTGTTGACCGCACCTGCTATACACACAACAGGACACCTCGAGAGCGCTCGGAATCAACGCTACAGAAAGAAATCCAAGGCCTCATCCGTCAAATCGTGGCCAGCGTAACATTCCTGCCGCTCTTAGAGGTCGCATGTATGTGCGGGTGGTATAGGACCTAGTTCTTTATATACATATGCATATACATATACATACACACACACACACACACACACACACACACACACACACACACACACACACGACACGACACACACACACACACACACACACACACACACACACAC